AGGTTGTAGTTATTACGTTGTAGGTTAAGTCAGGCTGCGCGGGAACCAGCCGGGGGCAGTGGGGCAGCTTGCCCCCCCCCCCCTCCAACTCCATGGGGCAGAAGGGGTGGTGCCCCCACAACTTGGAGACGGAATGGGTACCGCACTTTGTATGCAAATGTTTTCTTTTTTGTTGAAAAAGCCAAGAGATGGAAAATAAGTGTCCTAAAACCGGTGAGAAAACTAGATTTGGGGATCCCCTAGGTTGATCTCTACATATATGGTGCCCCCCCCCCCCGTCTGAAAATACTTTCCGCACCCCTGAGACCTGAGGTCAGGTTAGGTTTGTTTGTTTTGTTTTCGGTTCGGTTATAACTACATATCTTTGGGTAACGCCTGTAGGTACTTGGTTGGAAAAAAGAAATACGCGTCAAACACGCGTCTGGGACCCTCAGGCAGTGCAGGGGCGCGGGAACTACTTTCAGAATTCAGACTGGGGCAGGAGTGTAATTTTCCTAAAACCAGTAAAGCGCCTTTTGGGCGAAGAACGAGCGACCGAGATAGTGAGCCCTGCACGTGCGGAAGGGCGAGAGGGTATTTCCAACGGGGCTTGTGCAAAGCACCCTTCTAACTGGTCGCTAGCGGTGTGCCAAATTTGAACGCAATCGGCCCAGCCGTTCCTGAGATCTGGAAGCGGCATTCTGCACGTGCGCACGTGCAAACGGGGTCCAAACTGGCTTTTGCACGGCACCCTACTAACCGGTCCCCAACCGTGTACCAAATTTGAGCGCAATCGGCCCAGCCGTTCTCGAGATCTGGAAGTGCCCCCTGCACGTGCGCACGTGCAGTAGCACCCTATAACCGCAACACATGGGAATGCATTGCCTGGTGGGTGCCTACCTGTATGCCAAGTTTCAGCGAAATCACCCCAGTAATTACCGAGTTATTGAAATGGGAACAAACTTGGCACCTCTTCTTTTTGTATTTTGCACGTGCAGTGGGGGTCACTCACATAGATCAAGAGAATCCGACCTTTGGTAGAAGGGATGCAGCTACCCTACAAAAATTACCGCAAGACAATCGTCCAAGCGGCTGCTGAGATATGAGCCTATCAAAATCACTACTTTTGCACAACAGCTTGAACACCCTTGACTTTTCACGTGGCACGTGCCACGACGGTCACTGAGATGTGTCAAGACAAGGTAGTCAATTACGGAGTAGAAGGGATGGGGCTACCCAGCAAAAAAGACCGCAGGCCAATCGGTCCAGCGGTTGATGAGATGTAAGCCTCTCAAAAGCGTTACAGGCCGGGCCGGGCCGGGCCGGGCCGGGCCGCTCATACTGAGATTTTTCCGTCATATTGAAAAGACTTCGCTTCGCTCGCTGCGCTCGCTCACTCGTAATGATTGTGGGTGCCCAGCTGTAGAGTGTAGGGGCACCAGGCCGTTTGGGGGCGCAACGGATACCTATTCTTTATGTGGGAGCCTAAATTAACATCGAATGACGAATTTAATAACGTTGCTAGCCGAAGGGCGCTCCAAGTGACATGTCTGACTAAGGCTAAGCAAATACACGGTTAAAAGTGTAAAGTGACCGGAAGGGTGTCAAAAAAAAAAAAATGGCGCCATCCAGCCATCCGAACAGTCAGTACTTCAGTAGCGCTGAATTGGTGGGAACGTAGCCGTAGGGAAGGGACGCCAGAAGGTTACGACGGCGCTGTGAGACCATGACGAGGGCGCCATTCTCCCAGAAGGGCGCCGAGTGATTAAAAATGTTATATGATTCACAGTGCATTACACGATAACTAATTTTCGGACCTGCGATAACGATAAAACGATAAGAAAGGTTTGCGATAACAATAAACGATAAACGATAAAAATATTCAAAAATTTAACAGCGATAGGTAGCGATAAAATGATAAAACGATAACGATAATTGTTTTTAACAGCGATAACGAAACGCTAAACGATAGAACGATAACGATAATTGTTTTTTTAACAGCGATAACAAAAGTGATAAGAAATACAGTTTAAATAAGTGTACTTAAAGTGTACAGGTCACAGCAGAAGTAATGTGTGGTTTCAGTCATGGGTATGTTCTGCTTCTGAAGCGTAGGAACGATACGATTAGCCAGACTGCAACGAGACTTTTAATGTAGCTTACATGTATCTTCACCCATGGTCTCGTTTAATTGCGTCAAAAAGTCTGACTTTTGTTGGCCTCAGGAGCAGTAGAAACCTTATTACAAGGCATATCGTTATATTCTTCATGTAAAATCAAACGTTTCGTCTCTGAACAAAGACATCATCAGTGAAGTTACACACAACAGTAGGGGAAGTTGGGGGAACGCCGAAGACTTTTTTTCTGACGCCCGTAGCACGCAAGGTAGACAACATACGCTATTCTTGTTGGCGTCATTCGAGAGGCCAGTCTTTTGCCTTTCAAACATACCAGGCGCATTTGATGAATTCGCATACCGTTGAGCGCACAAACTAAAAATATCAAAGAAGTGACTTTTTCGGCGTTGCCCCGGACTGCGGGGAAAGCCGAAAATGGGAGAAATGATCTACGGGGAATGCCGACATTGATGTTTTGCCATTTTATCTCAAACTTTATCCAGAATTCATCAAAGCTGACACACGTTTCAAGAGCTTGAGGACGCGGTGCACACTGGAAGTTATAATTGTGTGATATAATAAGAAAATGCCAGGTTATAAATCATTCCTTATAGGTAACAGGCCGAAAGTGTAATTTGTGTGACTAAAAATACGCGTTGCTATTCTACAGCAGTAAAGTCCACGTAGCGTGCTTTTAACACGTGCGTAATCGCACGTTTTCGGCATTACCCCAGCCAGCCATACTTTCATTTGCAGGCCCATAACTTTTCAACGTGCTGTATAAATTTCAAATAGGCAGCACACTTATGCAAAGACATGCTAAAGATTACTTGACCGAATTGGCCAGACAAACGGTAGCATAATGAGTAAAAAATGCAGCTTCAAAGGCGCATGTAGTACAAGGGAAACGTACCTTGAAAACGCTCTTGGCGCCCTCACAGTCGAAGTATTCCGAATGACGACTCGTAACATACATTCGATAATTGTAGTCACTTAAGCTTCAAAGCATCACTGACAGGTGGCATCCATGTCTTACGGTTTTCGAAATATCTCGAATTTCGGCTTTGCCCCAACTCCGGCATTGCCCCAACTTCCCCTACATATTATGAGAAAATAAGCAATCAGGCGAAATAACAAAAGCAACACAGTATCGCACATAAAATCATGCATATCATAAATCATGCACATAAAATCATGCATGCCGCTCTGCTATAGTTTATCAGTTCAGTTGCCCCTCGTGTGAGGGGACATGCATAGGCTCGACCTATGTGCGCCTTTATAGCAGAGTGTGCCAGCATCAGGGCAAGTCGGACAGAACGGGAAATTTTCTTACCTCTCCTGTAGCCTCTTCTGTTAGAGACCATTCATTGGCATGCGACGTACCATTTTCGTTGAACGATTTTAAGATCATTGACAAAAAACGTTCAAACTTTAATTTAAGAATTCTGGAATCGCTTCACATATTCAAGTCTAGGCCTTCCATCAATGATAAGTTGTCGGCGTATAAATTAGATATCGTTACCTAGGGGTCTTTGATGAAACATGAAACGTTTATGATATGCATGATTTTATGTGCGATACTGTGTTGCTCTTGTTATGTCGCCTGATTGCTTATTTTCTCATAATATGTACTGTTGTGTGTAACTTCACTGATGATGTCTTTGTTCAGAGACGAAACGTTTGATTTTACATGAAGAATATAACGATATGCCTTGTAATAAGGTTTCCACTGCTCCTGAAGCCAGCAAAAGTATCTTCACCCTTGCAGCTACAACTTTATCTATTGACGTCTTCTTTTCAATCAGTCTGCATTTAAAAATCGTCGGTCAAAGCCATCCGTTGAGATTGGTAAGGCCACACATTACTTTAGCGGTGGGCTGTACAAAGACGGAAACCTGAGCCAAGTTGGCGTAGTTTTTATGCTGAGTTTGACTTTCTGGAGCACGTTCATTTATATACTTGTTCACTTCCCCAGATATGCGGGAGTGGACCCCCCCCCCCCCCATGTGACTGACCTCTGCCCGGTCTGCCGCGCAAATTTATACCACCCGTCGGCCGTCTTACAGATCTGTAGGTACACTTAGCAGATGGCAACAGGTTGCGCACACATGCTGTCGCGCGGCATACCTACACTGTCGATCGTCTCCCATTTTCCCATCATACCGTTTTACATTTTAGTTTTACATTTACTCTCTCCTATCGTTTATCGTCGTTCATAATTTTTGTGTAACTTGCGATAAGTGGATGAGCGATAATTTTGAAAATTTAGCGATAAACGATTACGATAACCGATTTACTTAACAGCGATAATTATCGTTTATCGCTCATCCTATCGCATGCGGAAACCACTGATGATTCAGGGGCGCAGAGATGTCAGAAGGGCGCCACACAGTCAGATAATGCTAACAGCTAAGTTGATGGGGACGTAGCGGCGCCAGACGGTTACGAGGGCGCCGTGAGACCGTGAAAAGGGTACCATTCTCCTACAAGGTCGCCGAGTGGGGACGGGATTCTCCTATACGGACGGAGACAAAAGGGCGCGAGACGGTCAGGGCCGGGAGGGCGCCGATAGACGGACATCGGGCATCGGACGGTGCGGGCATCGCTCCGGGGGCCATCAGAGACCGGCGCACAGCCTCCAAGATTGGCCCGTCTAGCCTGTTGGAGCCGGTAAACGACCGCCTGACCGCAGCCATTGCAGTGCCTATCTATAGAAATCTTGGCAGGGCCACCGAAGCGTCACAAGTCACAAGCGTCACAAGCGACTAATAAGCGTCACGCTTTCTTGAGCGTTCATTGGTGTATTTTCGTTAGCCTGTCGATGCGGCTCACAGATGTGCATCGCGAACAGAAATTGTCTACAATCCTCCGCTTTTGGCGACGATTTTCGCCACTGGCTTGTAGCGCTTGTAGCATGTAAACATAGTGTACTTTAGGGTGGAACACGCCCTCATTTGTTTAAATATTAGTCGAATAGCGTGAAATAGGTGCCTTTGGAGTGAATTGACTGATGATTGGAACGGCAAAGAAGTGTTATATTATGATGTCTTAGAAATTAAGTCCAATTCAAGAATCATGTTCCGGTGTATTCCATTGTTTAAGGGATGCAACCGTCAGGTTGAATACATTGACAAGCGGCACAGTTCGCTGTCTTCAGTTCCTGACGATATAATTCGCTATGCTCGAAGCTTGGAAGAATTACTTTTGGATGCAAATCATATAAGAGAACTATCAAAGGTGAGCATATATATTTAATGCTTCAACTTTGGTTAACTTCTGATCAGGTCTGCCGTTCAAAGGCAAAAACCATTATGTCGGGTCAGAGGCAATTCCCTCAGGTCAGAGGTCACCCGAACATAATGGGTTTTGCCTTTATATGGCAGAAGTACCTAGCTAACAGCAATGTTACATAGGTTACGCAGTTAAAGGTGTTAATCGGGGGCCCTATTGAAGTTATTGCGGCTGCCACAGCTCTTGCGGTAAAAAAGGTAGGGCTCAGCTGGTGGCCAATCAGTTGACACAGACGGCAGTTTCCGCTGTCCTGTTTGGCCGTCAGCTAAGCCCCGCCTTCCTTATTGCTGGAGCTGCAGAATTCGCAGACACTTGAAGAAGGTACAAATGCCTTTTATCTGACATCAAAAGCATAGTGTCACAACAAAGTATTCTGCAACAGAATGGTGTGACAAATTCTAGATGTACCAATTGTTTTGTTACATAGTATGAGGAAAAAGCTTTAAGATTTAATTGTGTGCAGGATTATTCATACCCAATAGGTACCTACCTAGTAACACTAATAATAGTCATACCCAACAGAATATTTGGTATATGTGTAGATGGAGTAGGTATGCCACACTTGCTAAGTTGGTAGTTTGTAGGTCGGTAGGTTGTTGGCTTTAGGTTGGTAGGTTGAAGGTCGGTAGGTTGAAGGCTGTACTTCAGCAGGTAAGGTTAGGTCAGGCTAGCCTATGTTTTTTATCTTCATCTTACTTTGTCTACAGTTTTACCAAATATTCTGCTGTGTGTGGAACAGGCCTCTGCATCAAGCAATATCCCTCATCCTATCCTAAGCACGTAAGCTTGTATGTTTGTGAAAGAGTGTGCACGGAGAGAGGTGCCCCGAATTAAGCCTTGAGCTTCTGCACCAATCTCCGATTTACTCTTTTGTTCCAGTACTTTCTGTTCAATAAATATCATCATCATCATCATCCTTGACATGTTGAACTACTTGTATATGATTTATCTTTGAGCAAACAGGTAATTGTGGCAAAGTACCTATATCAATGTAACTTCATTGAGCACATTTAATAACATAATGCCTTGCTTTTCAGGATTTCTTTCGCCTCACGAAGCTGAGGAAGCTTGGTCTGAGTGATAATGAGATTCAGAGGCTTCCCTCCGAGATCATGTACCTGGAACATCTTGCTGAGCTGGATGTGTCCAGAAATGGTATGTTACTGTATCACATCAGGTTACTGCTCAGTTTCTACCTATCTGACCAGGCTGAGATACAGGATTTATTCTAGAATATTGAAGAGGACCAACAGCTTGTTTAGGTTGCACTTCATTGCTGGGGTAGTGCATGCTTTGTAATATGGCTGGTGGAGCTATGAATTATATGACTCTCACGTTTGCAGCGTGTTTGTGTCCAGTGTCTGTTGACTGTATTTTTTTTTTTTTTTGACAACAAGCACTAATGGCAAAAAGTATGCTGGGCGATCGGACCTCAGTAAGTTGTCAATGGCCTGTGTCAGAATACCTACCTCTTCATCCCCCTGCCCCTTCCTCCTTTGTTTTATCTCTATCACTACTTGTGACTTGGCAGATGTACCTGACATTCCTGAGGAGATCATCAAGTGCAAATCCCTCCAAGTTCTCGATGTCAGCAGCAATCCAATCACGAGGTAAGTAGATCTTGTGCTAGCTATGAGCTGATTTTTCAAAATGTCAGGATTTGGAAAATTAGACTCCAAAGACCTTCTTTTTCATGACCTTTATACTAGCTGGGACATTAAGCATGACCTTTATACTAGCTGGGACATTAAGCATGTAATTTTTGCAAGTTTTTGAGGCCATCTGCTTGCTGTCACTACGCACCTATCACAGGAGTCGAGCCAGACGGGCCTTGGAATGTGAAATGACTTAGGAACGACTTTCCCGCAGGCTTCCTCAGGGGCTCGTGCACCTCCGTAACCTGACCATACTGGGACTGAACGACATGTCGCTCACCTCGCTGCCCGCCGACTTCGGCAGGTGAGACTCTCCTGAGGCAACTGACTATCAACTAACCTAATGACCATTTTCTGAGACACAAATATTAAATTTTTGTTTGTGGATTTTGTTATGTACTCATGAGGCATGACTAGTGAAATAGCTGCCAAAGATCCAAAAAGAAGTAATTTCGATGTCATGAATAAATCTATCAGTTCAGCTATTAACAAAATTGATATCCGCAATCAATTACGCAAAATCACCCCAGCTCGCAAATGCGTGATTATTCTTGACGCACCGCGACTCAGTCATATTCTGACGGATCTTATCTTTTTGACACAAACAGATTTTGATGTCTTTACAACTGCTTGAGACTGTATGAGATGTGGCACGCACTGCGTCTGGACGTTAATGCCTTGCCGTCCGGCGTTCGTGTATTGCTCTTGTCCGTATCAGACCGGCTGGAGTCAGACCCGCCCCGGGTACACCAGTGTCAGCTGATTACGTGGCCCAGCACGTGACCTGCCCCCAGACTCAGTGGTGGTTGCAGCTCACTTGGCGGCAGGCATTCTTTGCGGCTCAATCTGTTGTTATTTTGTAGATGCTGCCCGACTTCTAGCTGTATGTCGGCGGATCTCAGTCTTTAGCTAATTCGTGACAGCAGCGGTGTATCGCCGGAGAACCGGGGGACGACTGGAAAACAGATAATGCTGGGCCGGGTGCCCCTAATCGTCCTCGCTAAGGCCGTGGTGGAGCGACACCAATCGACAAGGACGTTGGCTATAATTCTGACGGACGAGGGACACAGCGGGTCGGGGACCGCCGTCCATCGAGTGCCATTACCGGGTGTCCGCGTCCCAAGCCGCCCAGACTGTGTCGCCAGCCAATGCTGACCAAGTTCCAGAGGCGGATAGCTTTGTCCGAGGGCGGAGGATCTGAATTATCCATTTAAACTGACGACGTGATAAGTCGTCAACGAGTTTGGAAATGTTTGTGAGCAATAAGTCTGTGTTTGACCTGATGCAGCCGCCAAATAGACAAAACAAACGCGTTTAGTACACACAGCAGCGCCTGAGAGACTGTCAACGCCGCAGTGGAACATTCGCCAAATGGTTATGGTATACCGTCATTGTATGTTAAAGGCGAGCCTGACCTCCGCGGGCCACCTTGAGAGGGTGGCGCTCCGGCTCATCACGCCGCGTACAGTACGGGCCAGCCTGCCAGGGTTCTGGGCCATTGGCCAGGGCGCTGTTCAATCGCAGTTTTTTATCAGCAGCCAGCAGGCTACGAGCATGCTGCTATTTCTTGGCTCCTCATTGGTCAAATTCGCGTGGTCTCTTTATTTGACCATTGTGAGGCCAAGAAGGGCCAGCAACACTTTCTTTATATGGGAAAAATCGACAGCACGCTGATAAAAAACAGCTACCGAATAGAGCTCAGGTTGATCTCACACATGCGGCCAGACTGACTTTATGATAGTCTCAGAGATTATGTCAGAGGGTGTGGATGATCGCCGACACTGTTAACCGATTCGGCCGTTTTGAAATCATTAAGTAATTACTTTGGGATCGCTGAAAGTGATATTTGAATAATCATTGAAATCTGCGAAACTGACTTCTTCTTCTTCTTTCATCCTGTTATGCGACTTATTGTTGAGTTATACTTTAGGCCTGGTTAGGTGTTAGATATTTATTATCACCCGCAGTAGAATTAAGCTAATGCAGACACTTTGATGGTCACGTTTCAGATCAAGAACACGCCAAAGGCTAGATGGAAGATGTGAGGGTAAAGCATTTCACCTTCTATGCTATGTTTGAGACCCTTTTGTAGGTAGTTCCTCAATGTAAAAAAGTCAAATTTCTTATCATTCTTATTCTTATTGTATTCTGCATTTCAAATGCTTAACATGCATTTCATGGAAATTTCATGCAATGGATTTCAAATGCATCGGTTCAGAGATGTCGACTTGACAGATAAGTGTCTGGCCAGCTTCGAGACAAATAGCAGTGTTGCCATACGGTGGTGGCATGTGCACCTGGTTTTACGACGCGCTATCCCTATCGCGTACCGATTGCTTTGGTGACAGGCTTTTGAGGAGTGTTGTGTTTGAGTAGTTGGTATTGATAGTTGCTATCTTTCTTGACTCTATTTGCGGCCATTGAGGAGCCGAGCCGATGTCACGCCATTGATCGACAGTGTCCAGTGTCCACGGTGAGCTATTGGCTAACGCCAGTGTCCGTCAAACGTGACGCCAACCTCCCCAGTGAGCCGTGACGTGACGCCAGTCTCCCCGCTGAGCCGTGACGCCAGCCTCCCCAGTGAGCCGTGACGAGACGCCAACCTCCCAGTGAGCCGTGACGTGACGCCAGTCTCCCCGCTGAGCCGTGACGGCAGTCTCTCCCCCCGCCGCAGCCTGGTGAACCTGCAGTCGCTGGAGCTGCGGGAGAACCTGCTCAAGGCGCTGCCGGACTCTGTCTCTCGACTCGAGCGGCTCGAGCGGCTCGACATCGGCGACAACGAGATCGAGGAGCTGGTAAGGGCGGGGGTGACAGTGCACGTATTCATCGCTCATACTAATTGATGTGTTTGGTCTCGATCACGAACAGTGGTACCGATGATGACGAGCGTGTGTTTATTGGTTTCAGCAAGCCACCATCGGTTCTCTGCCGTCCCTGAAGGAGCTCTGGCTGGACCACAATCAGCTGACGCACCTGCCCTCGGTGAGTGGCCGAACGCCGCTGCAGCTGGACCAGCCTCAGTCAGACCTGTGTCCGGCCACTGCCTGACCGCTTACTCACGCATTTGTGATGACATTGTGTCTAAATCGTGGTAAGGCTGCCAGTGTCTGCTGATAAAGTTGTGTCTCAGTTATTATCAGGCTGCCAGTTGCAGCTGTCGGTCGGTGGTCATATGAACTCTCGCGTCTGTGTCGCCGCTGCGCAGGAGATTGGCCAGCTGAGCAGCCTCAAGTGTCTGGACGTGTCTGAGAACCGTCTGGAGGACATTCCGGAGGAGATCGGCGGCCTGTTCAGTCTGGAGGACCTGCACCTGTCGCAAAACTTCCTGGAGGCGCTGCCCGACGGCATCGGGAAGCTGGCCGAGCTGCTGATCCTGAAGGTGGACCTCAACCGGCTGACGGCCTGCAACCCGGCCATCGGGAGGTGAGACGCTGCAGACCTGACAGAGCCGACAGACCTGACAGACCACACAGACCGGGTCGGACAGACTCGACAAAACCGGCTGAGGGCCTGCAACCCGGCCATCGGGAGGTGAGACACTACAGACCCGACAGACCCGACAGACCACACAGACCAGACGGACTAGGCAAAACCGGCTGACGGCCTGCAGGCTGTGACCCGGCCATCGGAAGATGAAACACTACAGACTCGTACGGGTCTTTGACTTTCATGAATAAAGTAGAGCAACGTAGACTGCTGATAACAGCTGTTGAAAGTGTATGAAGCTAATATTCGCCTACTATGCAGTCACTGGAAGCCTCTTTGATACCTTACGCATATCTTGGTGCGCTAATAGCTGACTGGTTTTCACGTGTTCAATGTCCATGGTTTAGAGCCCACACTTTCCCGTGTTAGATCTGCCGTGGCTGTCGTGGTGTGTCTTCCCTCGGTAAGACCCCTCGTGCTGCGTGTTTCAGGTGCGCCAGCCTGCAGGAGCTGATACTGACGGAGAACTTTATCACCGAACTGCCGCCGTCGGTGGGCAATCTGCGCCACCTGACCAACCTGAACGTGGACCGCAACCGGCTCGTCAGCCTGCCGGACGAGATCGGTGAGCTACTGCTGGCCCCCTGCGCCCCGCAGTGACGCAGGGATGGGGGGGGGGGGGGGTGACAACTGACAGCAGGGAATATAGATGAGCCGGCGCCGCTCTGAATCCATCAATGACACAGGGCGCGGGGACCGGTAGTTAACAGGGGAAAACAGCATGGCCGGATACTCAGTGGACCTCTGCCGGCCACATAACCGTTTCCAGTGGGCTGCTGCAGTCGGCTGCATATGTAAAATGTGTGCACACGTCCTGTTATGCCGGTTTAGCTAAGCCCTCGATCCGTCTCCGGTTCACAGGTAACCTGCAGGAGCTGGGCGTGCTATCGCTGCGCTGTAACCAGCTGCAGCACCTGCCCGACACTATCGGACAGTGCAGCGCCCTGCACGTGCTCGACGTCTCGGGAAACAGGTGAGCACGGCTCCAGCGGCCGCCTGCACACACCAGCGGGTGCTCTCTGACTGTGCTAGGAGGCGCACACTGCCTGGTGGGCTAACAAAATGTGAACTCTCAATTGACACTCAGGCGGCAGGCTGTTCGTTAGAAACGCATTTCAATCGCTTTTTGCCAATGGTTTTGTCGAAGGAATCGTCTTCTTGCCGCCCATGATTTTTTTGTCAGTATTTTTTTTTTTTCTAGGGGGAAGGGGCTACGCGCTCCCCCCCCAAAAAAAAACGGGTCAGTTCATGGACGTGAGGCATCGAATAGGCGCCGTCGTAATTGCAAATATAGTCGCTATGACGGTTATTATCCGCAATCGGCTTATCACCTGATGAGGTGATTTTGTCAATACGTCTGTAACATTATCTGAAAACGTTAGGCTTAAACTATGACGGTTATGACGGTTATTATCCGCAATCGGCTTATCACCTGATGAGGTGATTTTGTCAATACGTCTGTAACATTATCTGAAAACGTTAGGTGTTACGATCAGTCGTTCTCAGCCACCCGTCCCGCTGTGTGTGCAGTGTTACGATCAGTCGTTCTCAGCCCACCCGTCCCGCAGTGTGTGCAGTGTTACGATCAGTCGTTCTCAGCCTACCGGTCTCGCTGTGTGTGCAGTGTTACGATCAGTCGTTCTCAGCCACCCGTCCCGCTGTGTGTGCAGTGTTACGATCAGTCGTTCTCAGCCACTCGTCCCGCTGTGTGTGCAGTGTTACGATCAGTCGTTCTCAGCCCACCCGTCCCGCTGTGTGTGCAGTGTTACGATCAGTCGTTCTCAGCCACCCGTCCCGCTGTGTGTGCAGTGTTACGATCAGTCGTTCTCAGCCCACCCGTCCCGCTGTGTGTGCAGTGTTACGATCAGTCGTTCTCAGCCCACCCGTCCCGCTGTGTGTGCAGTGTTACGATCAGTCGTTCTCAGCCTACCGGTCCCGCTGTGTGTGCAGTGTTACGATCAGTCGTTCTCAGCCACCCGTCCCGCTGTGTGTGCAGTGTTACGATCAGTCGTTCTCAGCCCACCCGTCCCGCTGTGTGTGCAGTGTTACGATCAGTCGTCCTCAGCCACCCGTCCCGCTGTGTGTGCAGTGTTACGATCAGTCGTTCTCAGCCACCCGTCCCGCTGTGTGTGCAGTGTTACGATCAGTCGTTCTCAGCCCACCCGTCCCGCTGTTTGTGCAGTGTTACGATCAGTCGTTCTCAGCCCACCCGTCCCGCTGTGTGTGCAGTGTTACGATCAGTCGTTCTCAGCCCACCCGTCCCGCTGTGTGTGCAGTGTTACGATCAGTCGTTCTCAGCCCACCCGTCCCGCTGTGTGTGCAGTGTTACGATCAGTCGTTCTCAGCCACCCGTCCCGCTGTGTGTGCAGTGTTACGATCAGTCGTTCTCAGCCCACCCGTCCCGCTGTGTGTGCAGTGTTACGATCAGTCGTTCTCAGCCACCCGTCCCGCTGTGTGTGCAGTGTTACGATCAGTCGTTCTCAGCCCACCCGTCCCGCTGTGTGTGCAGTGTTACGATCAGTCGTTCTCAGCCCACCCGTCCCGCTGTGTGTGCAGTGTTACGATCAGTCGTTCTCAGCCACCCGTCCCGCTGTGTGTGCAGTGTTACGATCAGTCGTTCTCAGCCTACCGGTCTCGCTGTGTGTGCAGTGTTACGATCAGTCGTTCTCAGCCCACCCGTCCCGCTGTGTGTGCAGTGTTACGATCAGTCGTTCTCAGCCACCCGTCCCGCTGTGTTGATAGTGTTACGGTCAGTCGTTCTTAGCCACCCGTCCCGCTGTGTGTGCAGTGTTACGATCAGTCGTTCTCAGCCACCCGTCCCGCTGTGTGTGCAGTGTTACGATCAGTCGTTCTCAGCCACCCGTCCCGCTGTGTGTGCAGTGTTACGATCAGTCGTATCTCAGCAGCCCACCCGTCCCGCTGTGTGTGCAGGCTGCAGAACCTGCCGGCCTCGCTGCAGAACCTGAACCTGAAGGCGGTCTGGCTGTCGGAGAACCAGGGGAAGCCGATGCTGCAGTTCCAGACGGACTGGGACGAGATCAGCGGCCAGGAGGTGCTCACCTGCTTCCTTCTGCCGCAGCTGGACGACCACGAGGACAGAGGTGCGGCGCCAGACGCGGCCGGACGAGTACTCATCAATATTGGCAGCGATATTTATCGATAAAGTTAGATCTTAATTTTGGTTTGTGTGCTTTTTGGAGGAGCATTAAAAAAAAACCTTGCCATTCAGATGGGAGTGCTATAATGTCTGTCTGGCGGTGGCTGCATTGGGCTCTGTTCCGCGCTGACTGCCGCTCGGGCGCTGCCGCAGAGTTCACCAGCGGCCGGCTGTACCGCTCTTCGTGCGACGACCTCTCGACCAACGACGGCAGCGAGCGCGACTGGGACGAGCACCGGGCCGCCGTGGTCCAGTTCGGACCCGAGGACGACGAACTGCTCGACAGAGAGGTGAGGCCGCGCCCGCGCCCGCCAGTCGTCCGTCTGGGCGCCCCGACAGACACTCGCTGCAGCTGACTCCTGTGGTTGGCTGATGAAGTGGGATGTGCTGTGGCTACGTCGATAACCGAGAACAACAACAACAACAACAAAATTGTGACACTTACGTCGAATTTACTTACTTCGCTTCGAATTTTATTTACTTCGCTTGTATTTGTTTGTGATGATTTGTTTATTTTATGATGCAAATGTTGTTGATCGCTGAGCCATCCCTCGTTGTTGCAGAGTCACTTTGTTCGTCACAACACGCCCCACCCCCGCGACCTGAAGGCTAAGGCCAACAAGCTGTTCGGAAAGGGAAAGCAGGTGGACGGGACCCCCAAGTCGGCAGAGGTGAGGACGGACTGAGCGCGGTATGAGACGGCCCAGTGCTGCGCTTTGCGTTTGGTGTTGTTCTTATGGACACTGGTACTTAATATTTGAAGTCCCTAAACATTGGGACTGTCTGTCTAAAGTAACTGCTCACTCATGTAGCTGAGATGTAGGCGGCTTCTTGCAATCACCAGGTGCCGCCACATCATCATACCTTGGTGAGCAGTGTGTCTGACCTGACGGCCCGCCCCTCTGGTTGCTCTGCGCAGCACTTTGAACTGACGGCCCGCCCCTGTGGTTGCTCTGCGCAGCACCTCGACTCTCCGCAGCCGGCCGACACCAGCGGCCGGTTCAACCCGGCGTTCCGTCGCGACCTGCCGCGCTCCTCGGAGCTGCGCCGGGTGGACCCGGGCACCGGCCAGGTGACCGAGCTCTTCTCGCCGCCGCCCTACGACGCCGCAGGTGAGGGGCCGACAAACGTCTCCGCCGCTACGTCATGATCTGTCACCAGTGGACCCCACCACCATATTATTCTGTCCTGCCAGTAGTGGATTCGGATGTTGCACTCTACTCGTAACAACATTCGACTACCGTTTAAGCACGCTTGTCTTATTCGCTGCCTAAGTACGGCCCTCCAGGTATTAAGTGGTTGGTTGCCAACATCACATTAAGCGATCTGCATTGATGAATACGTCTAATGGCTGTTGATAACTATTATTGCTGAAATGTGCGCACGAACCCTTTTCTCATTTCTATTGAGTCATTTTTAGGTGTTGTTTTTATCCGCTGGGACTGAGAGCGTGAGATGTTTTTCGTACTCCAGCGTAGATGGGTAGCCATACGGCTTCCACGGTTGACAGTGATGACATCAGTCATCTTTTGCAAGCTCGTTAAAGATTTGGGCTATACGGGGATCTACGCTGGAGTACGAAAAACATCTCACGCTCTCAGTCCCAGCGGATAAAAACAACACCTAAGAATGATCCGCATAAAACTTGGCAGAAAGCTCGTTAAAGTACTTGGTCTATATAGCTCAGAGGTAGAGCATTGGAGCGCTAATCCCTGTATAGCCCAAATCTTTAACGAGCTTGCAAAAGATGACTGATGTCATCACTGTCAACCGTGGAAGCCGTATGGCTACCCATCTACGCTGGAGTACGAAAAACATCTCATTGAGTCATTTTACAGGAGTGTCTCTGTCCTTCAAAATTATTACACCAAAAGCACAAAGGGTAACCAACCACTCTTTTGCTGGAGGGCCGTGCTGAAAAGTTGATTGTCGCAGCTGCTTCCGCTCAGGTTCTGCACCGTTCCTCTAGTGACTGATGTTCATTCGACAGAGAGTGTGTTGGTTTGACTATGTGTGTGTTTTGACTGTGTCTGCTGGTTTTCTGTGCAGCGCTTAGTTCTGGTCCGCTCATCTGATGACTGATGTCTGCCTCACAGAGACGATGCCGCCGTCCATCGGCGACCTGGAGAAGGAGCCGGCCGTGGACCAGCAGCCGCCGCCGGCCTACCACGAGGTGGCCGCGCCGCCCGCCGCTCCGCCCGCCGCTCCACCCGCCGCTCCACCCGCCGCGCCACCCGCCGCGCCGCCCGCTGTGCCGCCCGCCGATCCGGCGGTGCGGTCCCCGGCGCCGCAGCCGGAGCCGGTAGCGGAGCCGGAGCCGGAGCCGGAGCCGGAGTCAGTAGCGGAGCCGACCCGGGAGCCGGCTCCGGCGGCGCAGACGGCCGAGGCGCCCGAGCCGCCGGCGGAGGCCGACCAGGACTCTCCGGACATGGGGGACCGGCGCGTGGGCTTCGCCGTGTCCGGGGACGAGGAGCCGACCGCCGAGCGGCACAACCGGCTGCACCGGCGCGACACGCCGCACCACCTCAAAAACAAACGCATCACGGACAAGGTGAGCTCAGCTGGCGTGGCCGGTCCGCTGCGCTCCGGGCTGAGTCGGTCGATGCCCATTCAGTGCCGATCGGCGTTTGTTACACCTCAAAGTGGTTTAGGTGGTGGCCGACGAGCCCTCTGTTCCGTCGTTCTCATGGCGTATGACCAGTACTCCTCCCGCCCGCCCTCAGTGGTTCGGGCGGCGGACCTCTCAGTCATTGGCGTCTGACCGGCGCACCAGGTCCTGTCGCGGGCTGACCTGCTCTCCCTCCCTCCTTGGTCCTAATGGTGACTGACGGGACCCTCCCGCCGTCCTGACGCGCAGGACGTGTGGAATGACCGACTCTCCCTCCCTCTGGCCAATGTTGACTGACCTCCCGGCCCTCCGCCGTCCTGCCGCTCAGGTGGACCAGGACCAGGTGGCGTCCATCATCGCGCAGGCGCTGAAGCGGCGCGAGGGGGAGGGCGGCGACGGCGCGTCTCCGCCGCCGCCGGCCGCCGGTCCCACGGTGCAGGTGGAGGAGCAGCAACTGGACCTGACCATTCAGGTGAGGGGGCGGGGCACATAGAGCAGAGCCCGCCGGTCCTGGACCTGACCATCCAGGTGAGGGGGCGGGGCACAGAGAGCAGAGTCCGCCGGTCCTGGACCTGACCATTCAGGTGAGGAGGTCTGCGTGGTAACCGCGTGGACTGGGCCTGAGTATCGCCGGCGGTGCCGACTGTCGCCCGTATCTGTGTGTCTGAGCTCCTGACTGTTACCCGTGTCTGTGTTACAGCGGGCGGCCTCCGGACTGGGTCTGAGTATTGAGTAATGAGTGTCCCCGGCGGTACTGACCAGTGTCTGTACTCTGTGTCTGTGTTCCAGCGGGCCCCCTCCGGGCTGGGACTGACATCGCCGGCAATACTGACTGTTAGTTGTTACCCGGCGTGTCTGTGTCTGTGTTCCAGCGCGCTCCCTCCGGGCTGGGTCTGAGTATCGCCGGCGGGCGCGGCTCCACGCCGTTCAGAGGGGACGACGAGGACGTCTTCATCTCGAAGGTGCTGGATGGCGGCCCGGCGGACCTGGCTGGACTCAAGGTGGGCGTTCTCACGGGACACAATGAGCATCCCGCACGGCCTCATGCATTTCTGATATGTTCCGTTTGCCCGGCCGATTCTCTGCTCCAGCTGATGTTCACTCGTTGCTGTTTCCTCCAGGTGGGCGACAAGCTGACGTCTGTGAACGGCGTGCCGGTGCTCGGCGCCGACCACTACGACGTGGTGGGCATTCTGAAGGCGGCCGGCGACGCGCTGCATCTGTCCCTGCTGCGCGAGGTGACCCGGCTGGTGCCGCCGCCGGAGCCGGAGCCGGAGCCGCCCGCCGCCGAGCGCCGCCGGCCCGTGGACGCCGTCACCGACCACGTGGCCAAGGAGCGGCTGGAGACGCAGCAGCGGCTGCAGCGCGAACTGGAGCGGCGCCGCGCAGAGCTGCGGCCGCCGGACGAGCCGCCGCCGCCGCCGGTCAGTCAGTAACCTAATAGCTGCTACTCGCTGAAGCTGGGGCGGCATGAAAATAATCGACTTCAAACGGTATTGTGCAGCAGTCTGCAGTAACTGTGACCAGCCGGTGACTATTGGTCAGTGACTCCGCCTCGCATCTGGCTCACAACCGCGTCTTTTCCAGCAGGAGAACGGGACGTCGGCCAGTGAGGAGGCTCCGTCGCCGCCGGCCGCCGGCGGTACCGACTCTGAGCCGATGGTGACGCGGACAGAGACCATCCACACCACGCTGATACGCGACAAGAACGGACTGGGGTTCAGCATCGCCGGCGGCCGCGGCGTGGCACCCTACGACGGAGCCGACGCCGCCGGCCGGCAGCGGCGACAGCCCGACGACGTACGTTACTTGTCAGGGTGTCTGTCCGTCTCTCACGTTATAGGTGGTGTTCGTATTGTGTGTCTCTCTTCCCGCCGTCCCACGTTAGGCGCCGTTAGATCAACTTAGAATATTCGATGAGTTTTTCTTTCCCTTTCTAAGGCCAATGTGATTTTACGTCAGGTGGTGTGAAGAGTTGTTCTTTCGAGTGCCTCCTCTGTCTCTTTTTTCAGGCGGCGTACTTATTCGTGCTTAATTTCTAAACCCTCCCCTCTTTCTTTAGGTGGTGTACGTTTATGCGTTTGATTCAGCCTCCCTCCCTCTTTTTCTCCAGGCGGTGTACGTGTCTCGGATGACCCCCGGGGGCGCTGCCGAGCGAGACGGAAAGCTGTGCGTCGGCGACCGGGTCATATCGGTGAGTGGCGACAATGGCACGAATGATAGTTACTGATCTTCCAGTCTTAACTGATCCGCTGCTCGCATCAGTCAACTGATGACTGGCCAATTTGTTAGATGTTAGTGTCTTTCCTGAACCTTTTTTCGCCCTATGGAACAGCCAGCCTCACTTATTTATTAAATCTAAGAGGAATGCATTTTAACTTTTTTTAGAATCATTGCTAATTTTGCCGGAATGTGGCTCAGCACTATTCACCCAACTGCTGTGCAAGTAGATGACTGCGGTCTCTGGCAGATTAACGGCGTGGACGTGGAGGGCGCGCGCCACGACCAGGCCGTCTCGATGCTGACCGGCCTGGAGCGGTTCGTGCGGCTGATGGTGCAGCGCGAGACGCTCATACCGGCCTCGGAGGCGGCCAACGGCGCTCCGTCCGAGCCGGCGCCGGTCTCTGCGCGCTCGGCGTACAGTGCCGGCAGCTACATGGCGCACCGGCCCATGTACGGCGGCTACCGGCGGCCCGAGTTCGGCACGCGCGCCGCGCTCCGCTCCTCCGAGCGGCTCTCCCTGGCGGCCTCAGCGGCGGCGAGCGCGGCGGACCCGTCCCCGGCGGCCGAGCCACCCGCGGCTCCACCCGCGGCGGCGGCGCCCTCCTCCGCCCCTGCCACTGCCACAGACGCCCCCACTGCCGCTAACAAGGACGCCCCCGCCGCCGTGCCTGCTGCTGCGACCGCCTCGCCAGTAACCAACTCCCGGTCCAGCGCCAGCGAAATAAAGGATAACACTACAGAGGTGGGTGGCCATTGGCCGAGAATGTCACTTTTACCCTACCGCTGCAACTTACTTAAGGTGTTGTTTGAACAAGAAGTGATAGCACCATATATATCTGACGACAAAAATTGATGTTTCCACACCCATGAGCTCATTATTTTGCTCACATTTCATGCAGAGTTGGCAGAGCTTCCCTGACCGTCACCAGTGGCCGCTGTTACCAGCTGGGGCGGCTTTGACCGTCGCCGGTCCCTTCTCGCCCTCAGGATGTGACGCTGAACAAGGCGGGCGGCCCGCTGGGCCTGAGCATCATCGGAGGCGCCGACCACAGCTGCCTGCCATTCGGCCGACAGCAGAGCGGCACGTTCGTCTCTAAGGTGAGTCCGGCGACCATAGGAGATGACGGATCGGGCGGCAGAGTAGGCAGCGCATGGAGCGGTCACAGCTGCTCCGGGGACTGGCCTGGGGCACACTGGTCGTGGCAAAGCCGGTCGAGTCCGACATCGAGCCCAGGCAGCCGCTATGTATCAGATCAGAGTCTCGTGGTTTCTGGAAATCTGCATTCTGTGTGAAAGATGGTATTTGCGACGTTATTGGCAGGTATATCGGGGGGGGGGGATATGATGGGAATATCTGTACCCTCAAAAACAGCAGCACGTCATCTGCTGCAATGTGTTTTCCTGGTCTTCGTTTGTCATAATTGTTTTGCTCTCGCCCACCATGATCTGTAACGTTTGATCAGCAGCTGTGCCGTAAGCCCCTTCGTGGTCTCTTGTGACCTTTGTTGGTGTGCCGTCCTTCCCCGCTATGGTCTGGCCCGTCTCCCGTACGGCTCCCTGCCGTCCTCTGACCGTCCCCCTCACCTCCCCGCAGCTGACGCCGGGCGGGCCGGCCGAGCGGACGGGCCGGCTGCGCGTCGGCGACCGGCTGCTGGCCGTCAATGGCTCGGACATGCAGCGCGCCACGCACGAGCAGGCCGTCATGGCGCTGCTCGAGCCGTGCCTGCACATGACGCTGCGAGTGTGCCATGACCCGCTCCCAGACGGCTGGCAGGTACGGCGACCCGCGGGCTCAGTCTATTACCGACGCGTCTCTTCTCTGTTTTCTATTCTGTCAGTACAGTGGACTCTTTACAGAGCTATTTGTGTTGAAGCTTTATTCGCATGTATTGGAACTGACACGGTGGGCAGCTGTCGCGAAACTCAATTAACACGCGCAGTGGAAGGGTTGCGAGTACTACGCCCAGTGGAAGGGGGAGGGGGCGGATGTCGCCCCCCCCCCTAAGATCTCAGCTCCCAGTGGAGCTAGAAAGACGAAATTTGGAGGGTAGGTGGGGGCCGTGGGGAACTCTGTTGTGTGTGAATTTCATGACCCTAGGTCAATATCTTCAAGGTCAAATGAGGTCAAATGTGGTCAAATCTGCCATATTAGCGACTTTTTTGCGTTTACACGCCGATAACTCAAAAAGTTACCGGCCGATTTTTTTTAAATCTTTCACTATACGAAAGAACAAACATTTGTGAGTATGTATGGTGAATTTCTAGACAATCTAACAATAAATATGGCAGTTAGAAGCCTGCTAAGGGTAAGATGTCGCCGGCTGAAGCGGCGTCGGCCGACGCGGGAAACGCGGCAATCACAATTTTGTGTTTACACACTCATAACTCAAGTTGTTACCGGCCGATTTTCAAAATTCTTTAACCATATGATTGCTTGTACATTTCTCAGTCTTCTCACCGAATTTGACGCGAATAAAATATAATTAGCGGTAAGGAGCGCGATGTAAAGACGGAACCGTCCCGCCCCGGCACAGTCTACAATTCAGGCGGCGCGTAACGGCTAGCGCCGGCCGCCGCGCCGCCGCGCCGCCGCGGCGGCAGGATGTTTGACTTTACACCGCTATTACTAGAAAAGTTGTGAACCGATTTTCTTACTTCTTGCACGAGAAGATCCGCAATTCAATTTTGGACAGGTAGCCGAAATTTCACATTGATATTATGCTTGCGACGCGAGTTACTGGCGAAAAACAGGAGGGGTGGGCGAAATCCGCCCCCCCTTCCACTGCGCGTGTTAATGCATACATACTGTATACTGTATGCATACTGTATAAGAAATCGCATTGCGAGTGTGATATCTTGGCGGTATATTCGAATACTTAAGGGGTGCTCAGCACACCAACATTTTCTGTTACGCCTCAACTCTCTGAGCAGCTGACGATGGCCCGTCCTTCCCTCGAGCTGACCTGTCATCCCGTCCCTCCCCCCAGTAGCTGACCCGTCCTCCCGTCTCTCCCCTCAGGAGCTGACCCGTCCTCCCGTCTCTGCTCCCAGTAGCTGACCCGTCCTCCCGTCTCTGCCCTCAGGAGCTGGCCCGTCCTCCCGTCTCTCCCCTTAGTAGCTGACCCGTCCTCCCGTCTCTGCCCTCAGGAGCTGACGTTGGCCCGCCAGCCGGGAGAGAAGCTCGGTATGAACATCAAGGGCGGCCTGCACGGTCTGCCCGGTAACCCGCTCGACAAACAGGACGAGGGCGTGTTCATCAGTAAGGTGCACAGCGAGGGGGCCGTGCGGCGCGACGGCCGGCTCCGGGTCGGCCACCGGCTGGTCGAGGTCAACGGGGTCACCCTGCTCGGCAGGACACACCAGGTCAGTCGCGGTCACCGGGTCAGTCGGGGGTCACCCTGCTCGGCAGGATACACCAGGTCAGTGAGGGGTCACCCTGCTTGGTAGAACACACCAGGTCAGTGACCGGTCAACGGGGTCACCCTGCTCGGCAGGACACACCAGGTCAGTGACAGGACACACCAGGTCAGTCGGGGGTCACCGGGGTCACCCTGCTCGGCAGGACTCACCAGGTCAGTGACCGATCACCGTCCCGGGGCCCGCAGGAGGCGGTGAGTGCCCCTGTAGTGTGTGCAGTTTACCGAGTATAGAGTAGTGTAGTATGTCTGACGGACCGTCCGGGCCCACAGGAGGCGGTGGGCGGCTGTGGAGCAGTGTGTACTGTGTAGTGAGTCTGACGGACCGGTCCCGGGGCCCGCAGGAGGCGGTGGGCGCCCTGTAGTGTGTAGTGCAGTGTCTGACGGACCGTCCCGGGGCCCGCAGGAGGCGATGGGCGCCCTGTAGAGTAGTGTGTACTGTGTCTGACGGACCGTCCCGGGGCCCGCAGGAGGCGGTGGGCGCCCTGTAGTGTGTAGTGTGTCTGACGGACCGTCCCGGGGCCGGCAGGAGGCGGCGGGCGCCCTGTAGAGCAGTGTGTAGTGTGTAGTGTGCCTGACGGACCGGTCCCGGGGCCGGCAGGAGGCGGTGAGCGGCTGTGGAGCAGTGTGTGAGTGTGTCTGACGGACCGGTCCCGGGGCCCGCAGGAGGCGGTGGGCGGCTGTGGAGCAGTGTGTGAGTGTGTCTGACGGACCGGTCCCGGGGCCCGCAGGAGGCGGTGGGCGCGCTGCAGTGTGTAGTGTGTAGTGTGTCTGACGGACCGTCCCGGGGCCGGCAGGAGGCGGTGGGCGGCTGTAGAGCAGTGTGTAGTGTGTCTGACGGACCGGTCCCGGGGCCCGCAGGAGGCGGTGGGCGGCTGTGGAGCAGTGTGTAGTGTGTCTGACGGACCGGTCCCGGGGCCGGCAGGAGGCGGTGGGCGGCTGTGGAGCAGTGTGTGGTGTGTAGTGTGTCTGACGGACCGTCCCGGGGCCGGCAGGAGGCGGTGGGCGGCTGTGGAGCAGTGTGTACTGTGTAGTGTGCCTGACGGACCGTCCCGGGGCCCGCAGGAGGCGGTGAGCGCCCTGTAGTGTGAAGTGTGTGTGACGGACCGGTCCCGGGGCCCGCAGGAGGCGGTGGGCGCGCTGCGCGCCGCCGAGGGCGAGCTCTCGCTCACCGTCTGCCACGGGTTCGACCCGGACGAGGTGGAGCGCCGGGTGGCCGACGGCCGGCTGGTACAGGCCAAGTCGGCCAGCCAGTCCGTCAGCAGCCTGGACCGGCCCGAGTCGCCGCCGCCCGCCGCGCCCGCGCCCGACGTGAGTAGTCACCCGACCGCAGCCGAGACCATAGATCCATCCAACTGTTTGTCGCTTATGTTGTTTCTGGTCAATTTACAACCCAGAACCTGAATAGGAGCATGTAAATGTCTTGTGATATTAAGGAGATGTGAGCGAGTATCCGTCCGTCCAGGCACGTTGTCGACTGACAGAGATCTTCATCGACTGAGCTGGGGCCAAAGCTTAACCCTCGCGGGCCCGGGGGGGGGGGCGTTTTTCGCCCCCCCCCCCCCCTGGCGAATATTTGCGATAGCTCCCGAACGCTTAGGGATAAGAAAGCGAAACTTTCAGTACCTTTTCTCCCATCAATTTGACATCTTCTGAAGTAAAAAATTTGGACCTAGCCCCCTTGATGACGTCACAAGGTCCATTTTTCTAGACCCCTGCACGGCAAACTTCGGCGTCACAGACGCAAACTTCAAATAGCTGCTAAAAATAGAGTTTTAGAGATAAATACAAATTACGAGCACGGTTGTGTAGCGTTTGACCTAGAGAAAAATAGAAAAATAGTTTTGGTGACCTGAGGTCAGAGGTCAAGTCAACGACCCCGAAATGTGGTTTTAGTTTTTCGCAAATAACTTCGACAAAAATGGTCCTAGAGCTACGGCAGTGGTACCATCGCATTCGCCTTGTCAAGCCGCGTCGAATGATATATATTTTGTTCAGAAAAGGTCAAGTTTTATGTTGACCTCATGTGACCTCGAATGACCTCTGGTTGACCTTGACACATGAAAGGTCGTTTATGATGGATTTGTACCCGCTGATCACGAATCTGGCATCTATTTTCCTCTAAGCCTTCATTTAGAGCTTCCGGATGGCAAAATTGTCTTAATTATTATTTCTAACTTGAATTAGTGAAATAGCCTCTAGCAGGGATACTCTTCAGTGACCTTGACCTTTGAGCAGCCTTGCATCGTAAGATGAACCACAAATAGGGAACTGATAAGCCTCAAAACATTTCAAAACATCTTGGACGTTAGCACGCAAGATGTGCGAAAAAGTGCCAAGTTTGAGGTCAATTTTGAGCGTGACCTTGACCTTGACCTTTCACTTTGAGCACATTTTCAGAATCCTCAGATTCTCTTCTTTCGTTTGACACCCAATTTTGCCGGTTTTATGCCGCCTGCCGTCTTCTAGAAGGCTTACTTTGAGATCACTACACATGTGCCGGTTTTTGCCTTTGACCTTGACCTCTGACCTTGAAAATCGACCTGAGGTCAAAAATTTTAGGTGCTTCAGAATCGTCTCGTAAGGACCTTTCGTTTGGTATCGCTTTTGTTTCCGTAGCTCCCTTATATACGGAGTTAGACAGGGGGGGGGCGAAAAACGCCCCCCCCCCCCGGGCTGCGGTGGTTGGGATTACCCCCCGGGCCCGGCCGGGTTAAAGATGCCCTTCAGGCTGTGAACTACAAAACCGTGCAGCGTTTCAGATGCTAATGAAATGAATTTGTGGAGCTGTTTAATGCGATCCAGTTTTGTCGTCACTTGTCTAAACGCGCCTGTGCTTTGATAGTTTACACGTGTACCCTTCACCCTTTAATCGTAAGCCGCTATTAATTAGTACCAAGCAGACACTCGCTTTAAATGGAAATTTTGATGTAACGCGTCTAACCGTTTGTACGTAGGGCGGGCCATATTTGTGTCGTTTCCGCTCACTGGCCCGGCCACTGATGTGAGTTCCGCGCTCTCCCCAGGCTGCGGCGTTACGGGAGTCGCGCACGGAGCCGCGGACGGAGCCGCGGACGGAGCCGCGGACGGAGCCGAGGACGGAGCCGAGGACGGAGCCGCGATCGGAGCCGCGGTCGGAGCCGCGGACGGAGCCGTCCGCCTCGCCGGAGCTCGGCCGGCCCGCGTTCACCAGCACGGTGAGACGCCCGTCGCCCGAACACTCCGCCGGCTCATGGTCTGCTGATTTTTTTCTAGCACTGAGCTGCTAACGTGGTGGTTGAAAACCCACCCCCTCCTTCAGCCTAGATCTTGGCCAATCGGCCATATGGTCACCTTTTGTCATCTTCCTTTACAATTTTATTGATAAGGGAAATCCAACACTTTATTTCAGACTGGTATTAATTTTGATGGTAGCTAGCCTTGTTTATGTTTGCTGTATTGTTAACTATTTGAAACCTTTATCCGATGAAAGATCAGGATTTGCCTAAAAGCCGCCCGCTCTGACGCGCGCCGCGTTACCCCGCCGTGTGCCCCTGCAGCCGGCGACAGTGCAGCACGGCGCGCAGTCCCTCTCGGCGGCGGCGGACAGGGTCAGCGGCCCGCCCAGCACGCCCGTCAAACCGCCCATCGGACCCAAACCCCGGCTGGCGCCGCGGCCGGCGCCGGCAGCCGAGCCGGGCCGCGAGCCGCCGGCGAACACGGCACCCGCGGTAAGTCCCTGCGAGCGGGCATGAGTCCCGAGTCCCAGAGACCAGCTCGTGTCGGCTACCGCCCCGCCGAACCCACGGCCAATCGGCCGCCACTACCAATCACCAATGTCAGAGACCTCCAGCTATCGTGGGCAATAACTTGCTTCCGATTTACCTGTTCACTGCTCTGACAAGCTAGCCCTTTTCTTGAGTAAATGATTTTGAACGTATTTCATGGCAATCCGTAATATACCTAAGCCCGTGTTCATCGTATACCCCCCTCTCTGCTGCCGGCCGGTCAGCCTGCTGCGGCAGCCGCTCCCGCGGCGGCGCCCCAGCAGCCGGCGGCGCCCCAGCAGAATATGACGTTCTCGGCCATGAAGCGGTTCTTTGAGACGGAGGTCTCCTCGCAGAAGGAGCCGACGCCCAAGTCCGGTGAGTGTTTCATCGGCAGTATATTATGCTCCGTCGTATCCTTTTTTCCGTCTCGTGCTTTAGCTAAGGATTGAATATTCGGAAGGACACTCAACACTGGGAACAAAAGAATTACCTCTTGTTTCCACTTTCTAGATCTATATTGTATGTTATCCCAGAATTGAGTATTTAGCATTCCGTAGAATGTTTTTTTTTTTCATTTGAATAGGTCGATTTCCTAGTGTCTGCGTTGACGACCTGTTTTTCTTCACACAATTAATATACACATAAATGATACCTACAGCACACATGTCACCAGTGTCCCAAAACTTGTTGATTTGTGTGAGAAATGACATCCAAATGAAAATCATTTTTCACTCTCGCCTCCAATTTTTTAGAGCAGTTTTCCACTCTTATAATTGCCAATATAAAGCATGTGCGTGGATGGTCGTTTGTAGCTCATTTATCACGTTCGTATAGAAGTTAATGCTATTGATCTTTTCCTACTCTTTTTAGGTCTCATCTAGGCCGGCAATTTTCCAATCTCATCCCTCTTTTTGAAGAGGAATTTCCCCTCTGACACCCATGAAGCCAAAATGCAATTTTGGGACACTGCATGTCACATGTATGAATGCGATAATAATTCGCACATGTTGCATGCAATCTTAGTTAAAACAATAGTTGTGCACTTTTATCAGATGAGCACCCATTGACTGGCCGCCATTGACCCCCCCGGTGCCCATTGTTTGTCTCCCCAGCCTGAGTGTCTGAGTGCCCACCGTCCGATTGGGTCCCCACCCGCTGACCCGCACCCCTGCGTCCCGTTTCAGAGAAGCGGTTCACCTTCCTCAGCTCCGACGAGGTGGAAAGGATGAGACAGGAGGAAGGTACGCACTCGTAACTTACCCTCGTATCAGCGAACACCGCTATAGCACAGGGATGGCACAGTAGCTGCTTTTGTTGTGGCTCACCGTGTCCTCTTTGTATCCTGGTGATTCTAGTTTACCCGTTACTCGTTATGTGGGAGAACTGTTAAGAACCAAAATTATTACTTTCTCTTTAGTGAGGCATAAAACTCGGGAGCTAGCACGCAGTTTTGAATTCGGTAACGAGTGATGCGATAGAAGTTGCAATTATGTTGATTTAATGCGGTTGAGCCTGACATCAACATTTTACGGGTTTATAACCCACTGTCGCCTCGATCGTAAAGCTAAACCCTCCAGCTGCGTGCTCATTCCATTGGCGCCCCTCGCTGGTGATTGGGCCCGTCTCCCACTGGTCTCTCTGTCTGTGACTGGCGGCCGGGCGCTGACGGCGGCCCGTCTGTCCGTCCGCAGAGGAAAAGTACGGCACGATGACGGCCGAGGAGTTCGAGAGTCACATGGAGACGCACCTGGTGGGCGCCCCGGACCCGGCCGACAGCGGCCTGCTGGCCATGACCGCCTCGCTGTCGGCGGCCGAGCCTGACGACAGGTGAGCCGCGCTGCTCCCCTCCCCCTGAGACCCGAGCTCTGTTCGCACCCCGTTTATTTATTAGCAGGCTGCGACCATGCTGCTGCTTCTTGGCTCCTCATTGGTCGAATTCAAGTGGTCTATTCGTTAGACCAATGAGAGGCCAAGCCGCGCCAGCAATAACTTTCTTATATGGGGAAACCGACAGCACGCTGATATAAAAACAGCGACCGAACAGGGCCCCGGTGAGCGCTGCCCCCCCCCCCTCCCCCCCCCCCATCCCCCGGGGGCCGGACGACAGGTGAGTGCTGCCGTCCAAACGCGCCACACCGACACCATCTGGTTTGTTACTGTCGGGTTGTGTCCGTTCACCGTTTGTTAGCGGTGCCAAGGTGCGGCGACCACTGCTCGTTGGGTACAACATCCCGGTGTTGTATTGTATCCATTCGTGCCGTGCGATGTGCTTATAACCGTGTGAGTGGTACACTGTGCGTTATTTGTGTGTGAGCGGTGCACTGTGTGCGTTATATCCGTGTGAGTGGTTCACTGTGTGTGTTTATATCCGTGCGAGCGGCACACTGTGCGTTATTTGTGTGTCAGCTGTGCTTTGTGTGCGTTATATCCGTGTGAGCAGTGCACTGTGTGTGTGTGTTTATAACCGTCTGAGTGGTACACTGTGCGTTATTTGTGTGTGAGCGGTGCACTGTGTGCGTTATATCCGTGTGAGCAGTGCACTGTGTTTATATCCGTGTGAGCTGTGTACTGTGTGTGTTTATATCCGTGTGGGGTGTACTGTGTGCGTTATATCCGTGTGAGCTGTGCACTGTGTGTGTTTATATCCGTGTGAGCTGTGCACTGAGGCCGGTGTGCTGCCGGCGGACAGCGGCGGCCCCCAGGAGGCGCCGCTCGACCACCGGCCGCCCGTGATGACGGCCAAGGCGGAGCGCCGGCTGCGGCAGCGGGTAGGCTCCGAGGACGAGCAGCAGCAGATGTCGCCGGCCGAGTGGCGCGCCCTGCAGGCCGAGAAACGCGCCGCCTGGCGCCAGGCGCGACTCAAATCGCTCGAACAGGTACGGACCCGCTCCCCCCCCCCCCCCCCTCCACTGGAGGCCCCAATCCAAACGTGATCGGACTGTAATGGAGCCGCTTAAACACAATTCGGCCGGTCAATGCCGCGGAACACTTGTTTCAGTCTGACTCGTTAGTCGGCGCTCAACTTTCGGAGAGCCTAATGCGCCGGTTCGGGCGTTGGTGGTCATGTAGCGAGCGATCGGTGGCCGCGGTATCGACTGGTCCGCCCGGCCGGCCCGGGCGCGCACCGTTCTGTTAGTGGTAACCGATCTCTGCCGGTTCCAGGACGCTCTGCAGGCGCAGATCGTCATCAGAAAGATGAGCGAGCTGACAGAGAGTCCCGAGCAGGCCGAGCGGCAGGGGGGGCCGGTGGACGACGACAACAACCCGCTGGTGTCGGCGGGCTCCGTCCAACAGGTCAGCCAGCCGCCCCTCAGTCACTGGCTCCCGGCCGCGCCCGGAGACCGCTGCTCCGGGGGGAGCTGTATCAGCCCATGTACCCCATAGTTAATCCGAGTCGGACGTGAAAATCACAACGTTTCCATGACACGTCTAAATCTATTTAACGAAATTTCAGGTGCGTTTTTCTCGGATACTATTCACCGTATGCAAAAAATGAGCGTATGTATGGCTTTAGCTAGCACCTAATCCTATGTTTACGATGTTAAATGTCTAAATAATATGATGAAGAAAACATTTTGCAAAATCGGCTTATTTTGTGCTGTCGTGATAGTTGATACCTTCATTATCGTTGTGTGTCATGCATCGTCTGAGATGTATCTCCCTATCAACTTTCCTACCGTGCGCCTCTCAAGTCATGCTGCCGGACGAGGTTTGAGATATCTTTTGGTTTGAACGAGATTTGAACGGCCGGTCCTTCAGAGCGTCGTTTCGGATGCACATTGCACGGGTGTGTTAACGTTCGGTGGACAGATGGGTGACAGCTCTCTGGCCGTGCCGTTGCAGCACTCCGCGGCGGCGGACAGCGCGGACAACAACGAGAACCCCGGGCGGAGCAGGCAGCTGTCGTAGCGCACCGCGGCCGGCTCGTGTCGCGGAGATCCGAGGGGCTCCGCTCCCTCACACCATGTAATAAGGGACCAGACGAACAATCTTCCAAATATACATTCGGCGCGCTAGCAGATGTTTTCGCGAGCTCCGCCAGCCCCGTGTGTGGACCCATGTTTCAGCGGCGGCCGGATCCACTGCCGGTTTCACTCAGAATCACAGTCGTTCTCACCCCGGGGCGCCAGCCGCACGGCGCGATTTGCTCTAATTTCATAAACATTGCTCTGCGTATTGTGTGCCGAATGAGGCCGTTGCCATTCATAGTGCCAGGAGGTAATGAGGTCGTGCGGATGCGGCGCCGTCGGCAGTATCGCCGCTTCTCTGTATCAGATGACACCCGGACTGCCGGAGCGACGCACGGAGCGGACGAACGGGGAGCGCTGCAGGTGCCTCGGCGCAGCCGGAGGACAGAGTCACGGCCCGAGCTCACCGGCCGCGGTGACTGCAGACGGAGCGAGACGATAGTCAACGAAACAATATGGTCAGGCAGATGTCCCATTTAATGCTACTCGTCATAACTCAGCACGTCACATACGTAGGTAACGAGAACAGGTCCCAGCTGAAGCTAACTAGGAGAAAAAGTCGGCAACTGTTGGACCGTGGAATTTTTAACAACCTGCAAGCAATGCAGTGTGCAGGCTGCACAGGCGCCCTGTCGAGATGTTTCGTGTCTCGAGATGTTAATTCGTTGAGGATTATCAAATTCGTAACTTGTTCTTCCTTGCATCTTCGAAGAAATTCGATTCGTTCGGTCGTTCGATTTGCTTTCGGTTTGCGTTTTATCTCTTTTAAAATGAATTCAAAATTTTAGGCCATACATGCACTTATATGTCACATGTTAATTCGTGTACGTGTCTCGTACACGGCTAGAGCTCGTTGGCGGGAGCTCGACACCAGTCAACCTATGCGTCAAGTTTGCATGAAACCAGTCAATATTTGGCCTGACCAGTGAAGGAACCTGGCAAATTGCACTTTTTGATACAGTGACTTACAATGAGCTAACGCTTTTGTAAGGTAAAGGCCAGATGCCCGCCCAACGCGCTCCGTGGAGAAAATGTCCACCGGTTACCGAGTAAGACAAAGTGCAGTTCCAGTAGGGAGAGCACGGGTTGGGCCCCCTCGGCGATCGTTTTTTGCTGGCGCTGCCCAAGGGGATAGTTCGTGACGAGCGACAGTTTTAACGCTTTGGGTTGCCTTCCAACACTATTAACATTTTAAGAAATTGGACAAAGCCGATGGCACCTCCAACGCCATCAACCCTCCTCGGCGGGCTGTCAGTTGGTGGTTGAGATATGTAAAACAATCGAACTGAATAAATCGTATATTACTGTTTCATATTCAACAAAGGAACGTTCAGGAATGTTCTTGTTTCTCCTCCATTCTCTCTCATATAATCAGACGGCACTACAGGAAGGGGGAGTCCTCGGACCTACTCGTTGCACCATGGCTCTGCGTCGGAAGCTATCTGGAAGATGGGGGTGGGGTCTGCCCGTGTGATAAGGTACGAGTCGAACAGCATGGCTACTCGCTGACAACAATTGGGTGCCGGCGCGTCCCGCCGAGCGCGCTGACGGCAGGGGTGGGGCGGCGCCATCACGAGCGCCGGCCGGCGGCTGACGCCGGCAGTAACAGCAGCAGCACTGACAGCAGCACTGACAGCGGCAGGGGCGCCAGGGACGCGCCGGCGGCACCCGTCTGGGGCGGCGGTCCCTCGGTGGGTCGGTCCGCCGGCGCGCCGCCACCTGGCACACAAACACGGCACGTCAGCAAATACAGCACAACACGTCAGCAAACAGCACACCGCACGTCAACGAGCACAGCACAACACGTCAGCAAACAACACAACAGGTCAACAAATAGCACAACATGTTAACAAACACAGTACTTTAACGAACATAACAACACAGCACGTCAACAAACAGCACACAGCACGTCAACAAACAACAACACGCCAACACTTAGCACAACACCTCTACAAACATAACTACATGACACAACACAGCACGTCAGCAAACGTAACAGCACAGTACGTCAACAAACAAGATGTTAATAAACACAACACGGCACGTTACCAAACAAAACAACGTAACACGTCAACAAAAACACAGCACGTCAACAAGCAGCACAGCACGCCGGTAAGGACAGTACAACACGTCACAGCACAGAACGTCGATGAGCACAACACAGCACAGCACCTCAGCAAATATACTTGTTGTAACACAACACAGCACGCAGCAACCATAACTGCACAGCAGGTCAACAAACAAACGCTACCCGTTCAGGGCGAGTTAGTGGTAGGCCTGCCTTCAGGTAGCATTATAATACAACTCAATCGCTCTTACAACCGTGGTAGTTCATGGACCTACCAAATAAAAAAAACATAATCACCGCCTTACAGGGATAAGAATATATGTGAAGTTGATGATGCTCGTAAATTTCGTTAGGTAGTTCAGGGATCCAATTACCCAAGCCATTGTGTTCTCGCCATCGAGTTGACCTTCCAGTGTCGTAGCTAGTGGGACACAACAGGCTCGCCCCAATCCCGTCCTTTTGACCTACAGAGGTCAACAAAGATCACTCGGCCGAACTTTGCACATATTGTGGCCCGCCGAGCGGTGATCCAACGAAAAGGGCATCCCGGAGAATAGTCTCAACGTGCAAAAGAAGTGACCTTATGGCTTACATGGGACCTTCAGAGGTTATAAAATCGACACAGCGGACGGATGGACCGCCCCCCCCCCCCCCTCCAACCTTGGCCACGCAGGCTCTGTTCGGTTAGGTAGGTCTAAGCCTATTGACTATTGGGTAGGTCAAAATACGTTGCGAAGTAATCGATCGGGCGACCTTAGCTGGCCTTTGCAAACTAAACGATTGGGTGCGCCTCATACAATTTTCACATATCGACAACGCCTCATCATCTTCGCAAATTTGGTCGCAATCCATTGAGTAAGAATTTAAACTGAGGCCTCTAGCCGGACTACAGCAATGTTGCATCACCTATCACATAGTGTCTAATATACTGTTGACATTTGTTCGCTTTTTTGTCAGTGCCACGCTCGTCAAGCGGAATAATCTTTCCATTCGCCGTTTGAAGAACAGCGATTATGCATATGCTAGCGTTATGAAATGATGCGCGTTCCTTTCATCGATCCCATTGGGATTGCATCGAGTATCTTCGCCGGTGATATGGCGTGCAGGTCACGTATTTTCGTGTACAGTTCGGCAGCAGCCGTTGCCGATGGCCGTTACCTGGACGCTGGCCGTGTCGGCCGGTGCTGTCCGGCGCTGACGGGCCCGACTGGTGTCGCTGGCGCGCCCGCTGCCGGCGCCGCTCCTCCTGTCGGCGGCGCTGTTCGCGCAGTTTGTGCGCGGCCCGCGCGGCGGCCGCCTCCTGCTGGGCCAGCAGCTGGCGGCGGCGCGCCTCCTCGGCGTCCGGGCCGGCGGCCAGCAGCCGGCGCTCGGCGTCCGTGGGCGCCCGCTCTGCCGGCACCGGCCGCCGCCGCCGTCACCGACAGCAGCCCAACCAAGCTACAGAGTACAGGTCTACACGCCACACGGACATGCAGTGACGTTACAATGGTGACTGCCCCCCCCCCCCGAAAAAAAGAATTTTGGCAAACTTTTTCTTAGACCGAGCACGAATACAATGTCGACAATGTCATGAGGATGAACTACCAAAGTTGAAGGGTAAGCGACAAAAACGCTCTATTTACTCTTCACAGGTCGGCAACCCCTTCCTGTGACTCGGTGCCCACACCTACCTGTGAGTCTTATGGTGCCATCGGACTCTCCGTGCGGATTCTTCGCCACGCATTTGTAGGTGGTGAAGTCTGACCCGTCCACTTTGAGTATTTGCAGCCGCATTTCCAGCTTATAGCCGTGACTTATGTTCTTCACTTTGTATCTCACTCCTGAAAACACCAACCGCGTCAGCCGAGCCGGTGCGCAGTCGCGTGCAAATCGAGCACAACAATCTCAGCATCATCTTCACGGAGGGGTCGGTGCCGGCGCGACCGAGCCGTACCTGAGGAGAGTACGCCGGCGTTGGCCGACCACCAGTAGACCACCGAGGTCGGGTGGGCCTCGGTGGCGCAGCGCAGCGTCACGGAGGTGCCCTTGGCGGCGGCCATCAACTGCTGCGTGACGTTCACCAGCGGCGCGACTGGCGAAAACACAGCATCAGTCAGTCAGTATCAATAGTCAGCACAGCACAGACTGGCGGAAACACAGCATCAGTCAGTCAGTATCAAATAGTCAGCACAGCACAGACTGCAGCGAGGACACGGCATCAGTCGGCAGTCCAGTCAGCACAACACAGCGACTAGGACCAGTCAGCACAGCACAACGACTGGCGGGAACACAGGATCAGTCCATCAGTACAAGATCAGGCACCACAACAGCACAATGATTGGAGGCACCCGCACCACCGACAGCATGGGACCCAGCGGTCCGGGCACCAGCAGTATGTTACTTAGGCCAGCAGTGGCAACCACAACCGACAACGGATCATTGGTACAGGGTGTCCAGAAAAAAAAAGATACTACGGAAATTAAGTCGCATTTATTAACGCACGTGCCGATTTTTTTCCAACTTCATGTGCTTATAGTGCAAGATTTGGCAAAACTCATGAGCACTGTAATGCGTCGTTGGAAACTTGTCTGCCTGCCCTCCGAGAGGGTCAACATGACCATCAGTCACCTGCCGACCGTGCTAGTGCTGGAGCTGATCCGCCGGAAGGCCGCTCACATTGAGTATCTGCTTTGAGGAGCTGCCGCGACTAACCAAAGGGTTTACATGCCATGTGGCACATGCTGTCTGTTTTGCCAGATTTTTGCGAATACAAGCATGTGCCATTTTAAAACGTGCGGTGTTTATTTTCGGAATTACAGCAAAAAATAATAGTATCCGTTTTTTCTGGACACCCTGTATCTCACAATTAACTTGGATAATATCGAAACAAAACTGCTCGGGTCCAGTGAGGTTCGACGCATACTCATAAAAAGCATTATGTGGTCAGATGAATTATCTGCAATCAGTTGATCAATTACCCGGCTCCTGAAGACGTGCCA